CAGCTGGTTGCGGTGCTCAGTCAAAAGGCGCTGTGGAAATCAACGAAGACCAATGGGGCGCTGTTGTTGACTGCAAACCTGTCCCTATTTTATTTTATTTTTTGTGACACTCCTCTCATTATATGCATCTGCGCCTTGCTGGATGATAGAAGAAGGTGGGTGTGGCAAGGAGGGGAATCGCAAAAGAAGGGGATTTTATTTTTTCTGCCTCTAGCACCTTTTTGACCGTCATGTTTGTGCCCCCGGAGATGAAGGTGCCGCCAGAGGGTCTGCAGCTGCTGCGCTGCGGACTGGCAACGGTGGCGCTTCCCGAACCCCCGTTGCCTTCACCGCTGCTTGCGTACTGGGGCCTTCCATTCTACAGCGAGCTCCCAGAGGAGGGTCAGGCACGCATGGAACTAATGGAGTCCTATTTGCTTGGTCTGTCGCGCTTGTTGCGGCTACGCAATGCTTCTCTGCAGGAAGCTCTTGAAAAGGCTCTTGCGAGAGTGATAGAGGATGAGGAGGTGGAGCGGGAATTTATTGTTGAGGACGGCAATCTTCTTGCTTGGAGGAGTTTTGTCGACCACACGCGTCTGGAGGCTTTGGCGTGTTTGAGGAAACGAGAACAGGCGGCACGGCTGCGCATTATTGATACGCACTTTACATTTGCCCTGAGAGCTTTATGTCATTTTGAGACGCTTCATCGAAAGCATGTCGCCACGCAGTTTTTGGACAGCTTGTTTTTGAAACGGTGCATGCTGCCTCCTGAGCGTAAGCGGCAGCAGGACTCGCCTTTGCTGAAGAAGATTCCTGCCGAGGCCTGTAGAACAGCGGAGACCTCGTGGGCTGTTGCCCTTATTGAAGAAGAGAACTCTTCCCGAAAGTCTCTCGTGGAAGTTTTTTTTGCGGACATTCGTCTTGCGGCTGAAGTGTTTGCGGCTGTAATGAAGCGAAATATGTATGTGATGCAGAAGCCTCGGCTGGAGTTAACGGCATCCTCCACACTTAATCAGCAGGCCACCGTCATTCAGAGCGTCTTCCGGGGGCACCGTGAGCGGAAGCGGCGTTGTGATTCTGCGGCATCAGCCTTTGTGTGAGGAATATGTGAAGGTTTTGTTTTATTTTTTGATGTCTGCATCTGCTCAAAAGATTTGCTTTGTTAGAGGGAAATCACCATGTAAGATCATTTTGTACCTTCTAAATGTAAATTTTGCATTTGCAGTTTTGTTTCCCGCTTTGTGTGTGCCTTTGACAGAATCCAAAGGAACGGAAGCGAACAAACAAGAATGAGGAGTGAGAAACATCTAGGTATAACACTAAACCAAAGCTGCTCATCTGTTCCTGACTCGATTAAATTCATATATATGTATATATACATATTTCTTTTTGCATCTCTTTTTAGGTAAAAGTAAGCAGTGGACTATTCCGATGGTCACTCTGCTAAACGGGGGGTTTCTCTTTCTTGGCGTGAAGGGGCAGTTGTTTCTGCTAGAGAAGGGCACACACCAGGAAGCGCAAATCGTATATGGAGGCGAGGTTTCCGCCTTTGCGTGTCGAGAGGATGAGAACATAATGGCTTTGGCGTTCCCACCGTCACCTGGCGAGGAGCTATGTATCGTGCGGTTGTACGTTTTTGCATGTAATGAGCTTGGTGAGGCCTTGGGCGAGGTGATGCATGCGCAAGTGACACAGGTGCTTTGGGTGGGCCTGAAGCATCTTGTTGTCTGCGGCCCTGCAGGGTGTACAATATACGTGTGGGACGGTGAAAAGCTTAAGTTTTTTGTCTCTGATCCTGCTACCAGTTCTTTCATGCAGGGGACTCGTCTGGGTCTCTTTTACGGGGCGACTCAAAACGTGCAGTACTGGAATTTGGATACGAATCGAATGATGGACGCTGTCAAGTTATCTTTGCAGGGTCGTCGCTTGATCACTGCTGTGGGTGTAGGATACTTTGGGTTTGCGCTTTACGACGACGGGTCTGTGCAGGTGTTTTACGTGACGAAGAGCAACATCAAGAAAATTGGCTTCTTTAGTCGCCTTCTCCTCGTTACCGAGGAGAACCTGGCGAAGGGTAGTGCGGCATCGCCTCTCCTGGCGTGCGCCCTTTCGTCTCGCAAAGTGCTCATAGGCTTGTATGGCACTGACACCGTACACAAGCTGGAGTACCGGAACGAAAAGGTGGTAGTGGACAGCATGCAGGAGAATCTTCCGCCCCCCTACGTGCTCATGGCTATCTCACGTGATGGTCGGCGTTGTCTGGCACGCAACACGGAAACCAATAAGTGCCATGCCTTAGTACTGAATTTTTGTGGGCCGAGGGAGACGCCCGCGGAAGAGAGGGATAAACATAAATTCCACGTGGCCTCCGAGAGGATTGGAAGCAACGGCACCGCAACACTGGCAGCTGTGAGGGACAAGCGCCATGTTGCATCATCTGCTGGCGAGGGTGCCCCCGTGTCGTCCGCGAGGTCGAGGGAGGCGGGAACGCAGCGGTCAAAGAAGGATGACAGCACCGAGAGGAGTGAAGACCCCCAAAAGGGCATTGCTGATGGGGTGACACTGACGGCTGCTGGATTTGCTGCGCTGGCGCTGGCGGTGGTCGTGCTGGTGCAGCGCGTCCTTTCTCCACAGCGGTAGACACACGCATGCATGACACACACACACACACACCTGCCCGGTATTAGTTGTTTGCGTGGTATCAATTGCAGTGGGACGACGATGCGATTTACTGACGCAACGACATCCTTCTTGGATCCCTCACTGTACATGAATCGAGGTGTTGCATACGTCACAGGTCAAACCTAACGCGCGTGGGATGGGGAAGGGAAGTGAGAATCAAAGAAGAAGAAGAATGGAAGAAAGAGGTGAAGGCCCAACCAAGAAGCACCGATAAACCTAAGCAAAGATAAAGACGGGATACTATATATAACTATATATATATACTATATATATATATCTATTAGTTATTGTTTTTTTTTTTTTTTTTTTGCAATCTGCATTGCACCAGCCTGTAAGAGTGTGGCGCGTGTGTCGTTTGGCTTTGCGCCCTCTTTTGTCTTACTCCCCGCTTCTGCCTTGCTGAATCCATACAGCGTCCCTTTTTAAATTGCTACCTTCTTTTTCGTTTTCTTTCTTTCCTTCCTTCTCTCTCTATCTGTGTGTGTATGCGTCTGCACCTGGTGAGACGAAAGTGGGTATTGTGCAAACCCCCCCCGCCCCGCCCCCGCCCCGCCCCGCCTGCCTGCGCTGGTTTCGTCTTGCACAAAAAAAAAGCCGTATTGTTAGAACCAGTGCGCTGGAGATTATCCATTTTAGCGTTAATGACTGACGAGCAAAAGAAAACATTCGTCAAATTGAATGAAAAAACGACCCAGCCGCTTTACAATTCGCCGGAGAAGAGCAGTAAATCTGGGGGGCGCGTAGGCAACAGCGCCAGGGCGAAGGAGAAGAATGAGAGGAAGGAACGCGTAGACGAGGCCACTCATACCGAAGGACGCATCAACGTGGGCGCGACGGTGTACACCCGGTTTATGCAGCATGATAAGTCAGGGGTCTTCGGCGGCGGTCAGGTCGCAGTGTGGGTGCAAGAGGGGAAAGCAGTGGAGCAAGGGTGGGGGGAGATGCTTCTGGAGAGCGGCGACGTGGTGTATGCCAAATTGGATGACCCAGCAGTTACACGGTGGGAGCTACCTGACGCCACATCGTTGCAGAGCGACGCAACAGCGGTAATGAAGACATTTACTCCCAGGAAGGAATGGCCAGAGCCACTGCAGGCAGTTGTATGGGTGGAGGCAGCAAAGGCGTTGGATGAGTGTTTCATGTCCTCCGGTGACGTGGACAACGCCACTGAGGTGGAGCGGTCGAATATGGTACATAGCATTGCCAATACGTATATGGCAACCTGCGGCGTAGAAGGTCATGATCAAAACTTACAAAAGTGGTTACATCATGCCGCTCTGGCGGAGTTTGAGTCCTTTCTAAAGAGAAGGCACGCGACAGCGGCTGCGAACCAAACAGTGAATCGGCGGGCGGCGACACTGCTGCTGCAGGGAACGCTTGGCCCAGTGGAGCGCGTAGTGAGAGAGGTGGGCAACAAATCCGCTGCCACCACCACTGTCACTGCCGTTGACTCGACCCAAGACGGGAATAACAACGAGATGAGAACGGAGGCGTTACTTCCGTCACCATCGTCGCCTTTTCTCCCGCAGGCAAAATTTTTGCTGAACCCATATTATGCCAATCTTTTGCGTCATCCATCTGCGCGCCGTAGTTGTATCGAATCTCGGCTTGAGGCGACTACTTTTGCAGCCGTTGGTTCAGGTGAGGTCCGTGTTCTCTGCGCTGTTGCCGCTTACGAGGGACACAAAGGTCCCAAAAAGCGTCTGTTTGCGGTAGCGCGTGACTGGACGGGCGCATTTGCTTTTTTCGTTTTGGAGCCTTTTAATGATACAACAGAGGCCGTTGTTCTTGACTCCTACCCACTGCTGGGCTCAGTGGACATGAACCCAGAGTCGCACCAGAGAATGGCGTTCCATGTGGATGGGGTGAAATTTGTGGCCTCCTTTAAAGACAATGAAACCGCCAGGTGGCTCCATGACGCCCTAAAAGCATCAATGGCGTTCATGTACGGCGAGGGAAGTGATAGTGAACGAATTGTGAAGATGCGAGCCTACAGCGTGGAATTTGCCGCCCAGTACGCTTGCGAAGATTCCACGGCACTTGAGTTGATGACTGCCATTCTCTCTGTAAGTGATGACTGTGATGGAACTTTGATGGAGAGAAGGTTTGCGCAGTTGCGTCGTTGTCTGCGCACGGCGGAGGGAAGAGACACAGTGGCACTGCAGTGGCTCAGTTCCGTGAAAAAGTTGACCAGCAAAAATAGTGTTTCCACTACCACAATGTCCACGGCGAATCACTTGCATGTTGTGGAGGTGTTTATTCAATGTCCCACCAGACACACTGATGCGAGGCTCTCTCAACGCATGTATGAAGGTATAGAGGATATGGGGAGGCACACTCCGGAGATAATGGCAACGTGCTCACGTCTTGCTGTTCTTCTTGATTACACGGATCGCGTTATGCAGACATGGAGCTCAAGACACGTGGTTCCGGACGTTCCGTTTGAGCCGTGTTTTAAGCCTGAGAGTCATTCGCCGGCTGCTTTTTACGAGGCTGCAATGCTGAACGAGAGGCGAACGCGGGGTGAAGCATACCGTCTTTCATCAGGCATATACTTGGTGGTGATCTGCTTTTGTGGTGAGAAGGTTTTTACGGACACGTCTGGGAATTGGGTTGCAGAAGCCGTTCAACATGGGCCCACGCTTGAGGAACTTCAACAGATTGCAGCAGATTCTGAGAGTTATCGTTGGATGCTTCGCCTCGGTGGGACCGATGCGAATTGGGCCAATAAAGAGAACCTTGAAACATGGGAAGCGCTATACAAGGAACGTGGTGGAGATTCATTTAAGGCTCGTTTTATACGAGCTGCCAGCCGCCTACGCGACCGAGGCGTGTTTCCCAGACTGGGATGCCTCTTTGATACCCCAATTTTTCAGGAGGAGGTTGGTACCGCTCTTATCCTCACTCTATGCGAGGTGGATGCTGAGACAGAGGTTTCACCTGCTGCGGGGGTGTGGCGCAATCTCTGTGACGTGGAGGCCTCCATCTACACGCAGTCCCTGATGTGCTCCGAGAATGCACGTGTGAGGTTTTTACCTACTGGCTATCGCCGTTGTGTCCGCTACTTGAGCGCCGCAGTGGAGTATCAGATGAGCCTCGCACGACGCTTGTCACCAGGGTTTTACGTAGGTTTTTTTCTCACCACGGTGAGCACAGAGGGAATGCTGATGCTTGTTCCTGAGTGCAATCGAAATCTACCGCCGCTGGTGAAGGTGAGTGACGAGCCGCCGTCGTTGCCGCAATGGCGGTGGCTGCAGAGTCTAAACTACCGAAGACAAACAGCGCAGAACTTTGGGCTACCCACATTGAGGGATCTTTTCACCCCGTTAAATGCGGATGCGCCATTTGAAAGCAAAGTAGCTTACGCCGTAGCGGCTTTGGAGGCGGCGGTGGGACTCAAGATAGAACAGTTTTATGACCTGGATCTCTTTGCGCTGAATGAGGAGCAAACCATCTACACCTTCTTTGCTGTGGCGTACTATCCACCACCACTGCAAGGTGTCGAGAGGGTTCCTGCGGCACCCAAAGGTCTTGTGCCCATGACGTTTAAACTTGTACGTTTGGTGGATGACCATCATCAGCGGCGTTACTGGAGCGCCGTGTACGGTTCCCTTGCGGATGAAGGAGATCGTGCGTACCGGATGCTATGTTCCACGACGCAGCCTTTTACCTCGGACGAGGCGATCCGCCTGAAAACTGCAAACGAAGCAATGCTCTATGCGATGGAGTTAGACAGATATGCACTCTTATTCAGCTGGGCAAGGGAACTTGCCATCTGGCTTGAGACAGACGCCCAGACGCTGGTGCAACGATACACAGGATGGCCTGTGAAAACTTCAGCAGCAAATACAGTGAATGAGGAAAAAGCAAGGGAGTCCGCATCTTCTGGTACCTCACATTCAGTGGAGGAGGTGGTGGATATTGCCGTATCTAACCAGACGTCTTCAACAGATCCGAGGTTGCCTGCGATGAAATCCTTGTTGCTGCAGCTAAGATCCACAGGTGAAAAGGGCTGGGGGAATGTCCTGCAGCGTTTGCAGGAGATGGACTCTGCTGTGACAGAGCGCTACGCAGGCGAGGAAGCCTCGGCAGCGGAGGCGAATAAACTGTCACTGACATTGCGCGGTTTTGATGACGTACCACTGGACGATGGGTTCTTTGCTGCGCGCCCCGCCACTGTGTATGAGCTTCCCTGCACATTGATGGAGTTTGTTTTGAATGAGGGCAACATTGACGACTCGTACCTTTTTGTCCGTGAGATCGTTGACGATGTGATTGAACTGGCTGCAGCAGGTATTGCTGTTGCCGCACTCGGCCGCATTACAGAAACAATGGTGTCATGTGTTGAGGTCGCGGAGGACATGCTGGATGGGGCCGCGCTGGAAGCTTTGCGTCTGGAGGCGGAGGAGAAGGCGTGGACTGAGCGACAGGCGTTTCTAAAGAGATGGAGTGGGATGCTTAATGCAAGACTTGCTCCATCTATGTTGGACGAGTTGGAGGCGCCGGTGGAGGATTTGGAGCCAATCTTTTACGCAGGATCCTCGCAATACATCCGAAGTGGCAACGACGGACTTCGTGTATGCCTTGCACGTGCTGCAAGTGACGCAAACCAGTTGCAGGAGCTCTTGCGTGTTGCTAACTCTGCTCTGCATGGTCTGGAGTTGAATCAGTGCATCCACGCCTACAATAACGCCTTTCAAGAAAATGGGCAGACCCTCTTCAACGACAGACCTGGGAAAAAGGAGCAGAGGGTGCATCGAGGAGAGGCTGCCACTGCCCCTATTCCTACTCCAGCACCGCAACTCGTGACGCTTGTTTCTCGCGAGCATCGTGAAATTCATTTATATTCACTTGATCCCTTGCGATGTTTCCTGTTGCAGGGTGACCAGACACGTGTAGCATTTCCGGAGCTTGGATATGCCGAGTTGAAGGTGCTTGGAGATCATATGAATGCGCCGCCGCTGGAACTTGCCTCACAGCTCCGCGACCTGCGTCCTACAGACGAGCAACAGAGGCAGAAGTTATTGAGCATGTCACTTGAACTGCAAGTGCCGCTTCTTGCCATTCGGCTTTTGCCGTTGGTGTACTGTCCCGAAACTGGTAATTTTGGTGAAAAAGAAGCGAACGCAGCGCGGAAAGCATTAACCGGAAGAGACTTTTTCTTTTTATACAGCGTCCAAGATTGGTTTCGGATGGAATTGCTTGGTGGACCTGCGACCCTTAGCGGCTTCGATGTTCTATGGTGGTTGCGTTACCTGCAGGAGATGGGGGAGGAAGAGGAGGCCTACAATACATACAGCGGCGCCTGGAAGCAGGTGTACGCAGAGGCGCGCGTCTGTGTGCAGCTTTCCCGCGGCGTGGACTGTGTCGCGGAGGAGGAGGTGCTGCTTTGGCGTGAGGAGCTTGGCTACCTTGTGGCGTACATGAGCTTCAGGGGAAAGGCGAATATCACAGACGCGGAGGTGACGGTTTTGGTAGAGACGTGCCCGCAGCTGCAGTCACTGGATCTCTCCGGAACGGCCGTGACCGACGAGTCGGTGCACCTCCTGTGCACACGATGCAAACGATTGGTGGAATGCAACGTTATGGGGTGTCGCGTTTCATGTGATGCTGCGATACATCTAACTGATTTCTGCAGAAGAAATGTACAGAGTGTGTAGGGAGGTGGCATTGGCTTATTGTTATTATCTCTTTCTTGCAATTAACTGCTCATACCGCTTGTCACTTTTATCGTGTATTTTTCTCCCTCTTTTTTTTTTTCTTTTTCTCTCTCTCTCTGAGTGCTGTACCTTATTTGCGTGGCTGGCGTTTACCCGCTTGTTATCTCAAATATTTGCCGCTGCGCATTTTTTTTTTTTTTTCTGCTGTGTGTGTAAACGACAAGACGAGGGTTGAAACCGTCGTCTGCTTGTGTTCTCATCTCTTTCATTAGTGGAGCTTCGCCCCCGCTGCAGAATCCTGCTTTTTTTTTTCTCTCGTTTTTTTTTTGCGGAGTTTTGTCTGCAGCCCGTTGTGGGCGGGGAGTGCTCGGAGTCTGTCCCTAAGAGAAGGGAAATAGCAACGACAGAAAGAGACAGACAGCCACCATGACGAAGCAAGAGTCTCTGAAGGAGGCGATGCGTGAGGTACTGGAGACAAAGGGCGTGATGGATCACGTCAAGGCGGAACTACGCGCTGCCATTTTTCACGCATTGCAGGATTCTGCCATGCATGAAGACGGCGCGCCATTGGCCAGGCCGCCGGTTCCACCGGAGAATTTGCTGCTTAACGAGTTGATCAGGGAGTACATGGCGTTTAACAAGATGGAACACTCGCTCTCAGTCTTCTGCGCGGAGTCCGGTGTGGCGAAGAACATATCGGCCCCTGTTCCGCGTGCCGTTCTTGCTGCGCAGTTGAACATGACAGGAGCACCGGCATCGGTGCCTCTCCTGTACGCCATGCTGCACGAAATACGCGCCGCAGCAGATGGATAGAAGGGCAGGAGGGATAAAAAGAGGAATACAATCTTTTTTTTTTCTGTCGCTCTCTGCGTGAAAACGTCTTTGACTTTTTCGAAGTGGGCGCGCGCAAAAGTAGCCTCGAGGAACACTAACGGTGTTAAGAGTGCGCGCTCCTCTCGATTCTCTTCCCCCTTATGCACGTACACAGACACTCCCCCCTATTATCACCTGCTGACCACAACTGCCTTTACTTTTCCTTATTTGCTCTGATGTGGAGTCGCAGCAGTGTGACGCAGTAGTAGTAACAACGGCGCTAGTCCCGTTGATAATAGTCCGTTGTTAGCGCCGCAAGAAATGAACAGCGATAAACTTTTTGACATAATATTTAGCATGAAGTTCACCATTAAGCAGATGAACAAAAGTGCCAACGCGGCTGAGAAGGCGAGTGATAAGGAGAAGCTCCTTGTAAAAAAGGCTCTTGAAAAAGGGAACCCCGAGGCCGCTCGCATCTACGCGCAGAACGCCATTCGAAAGAGGAATGACTCCTTGAATTATCTCCGCCTTGCCTCCCGCATCGACGCTGCCGTGTCACGAATACAAACGGCGGAGAGTATGCGGGCCGTTACCGCGTCGATGAAGGGCAGCGTGCGCGGGATGGCGAAGGTGATGGAGTCGATGGACCCGATGAAGATAGCCGAAGTGATGGACGCGTTTGAGAAGCAGACAGGCACTCTAGACGTCAACCTTGGCACAATGGACGCTGCTTTTGAGGGCACGCAGGCCGGGACCGTGCCTGTTGGCGAGGTAGACTCCCTCATGGAACAGATTGCGGCCGAAAACAACCTTGACATTAGCTCAAAGATGAGTGGAGTACCTCTGCACAGCCAGCTGCGCCCGGCGGTGGTGACAAACAAGGCTGAGGAGGAGGATGATGAAACCCGTGACATCATGGAGCGACTGGGCCGCCTGCGCGGTGGCGCCGTGTAAGCACGCGAAGTCAACGAGAAACGATGGCTCATGTTGCTGTGGCTTGTAGCGATGCTGTCGAGGTGGTTGTTACTTTCTTTACGCCTGGTGCTTGTGTTGGTTGCGGTGGAGGTGTCTAGTGGTTTGTCTGCCTCCCTGTTTCTTGAGTCTGGCTGACGGGGCGGGGCAAATGACGCACGCGCGCTTCCATGAACCATGTGGAATGTTCATGGGGACCCGAAGAAAAAAAAAAGACGAAAAAAAAAGGCAAAAGTAAAAAGGGTCCGAGACAAGTAGACCGCAAATGCAACAATTGCCCTGCGGTTTCGGACGCCGCAGCGACGCCTCCGTCTCCCTGTTTTAGTTAAATTTTTTTGCATTCCATTTTTATCGTTTTGGCTGTAAATGTGTGGATGCAGTGCGACTCTTTATATTTCTTTGCTCTTTTTTCAACTCTTTGCGTTGTTGTTTTTTTTCTTTTTGTCGCTCCTCCTGTGTATTTTCTTTGTTTGCTCTGTCTGTCTTTTGTTCATCTCGCATACATCTGTGCTTGTAGCGATGCGCAAAAGCGTCAAACGTGCGGCCCGTGCTGAGGCTGACGAAGTTCCCGTCACCCGCAGGCGGTTGCGCGAGCGTGCAGAGGAGGAGGAGGTGGAAGAGGGAAAGAAGCGATTAAGGCAGGAGGCCGCCGCACGTCGCGGTGCCCCCAAGAGTGAGGACGAGGAATGGGAGGACGCCACCGACGATGAACAGGAGGAGGAAGAGGAGTGCAGCAGCGTGGATGAGGGGCTGGGCGAGGTGATTGAGGAGGAGATCATCGACGAGGACGAGGATTACGACGAGGATTACGCTGAATTTCAGCGTGAGGAGGATTCGGTGACGAAAGGACTGCGACGCATAACGTTTGACGATGCTGCGCAACAGCAGCAGCACAAGGGAGGAGACGGGGATGAGGAGGAGGCCGCACCTACTGTGTGGCGCAGCGATCAGGCGGATGAAGTGGCGCAGCAGCTCGTGTACTCAAACAAGGCGTATGACTCCTTCTTTCAGTTGCGCACTGAGTATCCATCTCTCTCCTTTGATGTGATGCGGGACAGGGATGCTGTGAATCACACCAGGTATCCGCTCTCGCTCACACTGGTGTGCGGTTCACAGGCAGACGCACTGTCCAAGAATCAACTCTACGTGTTACGCATCACCAACATCTGCCGGACGAAGCACGATGGCGAGAGTGACAGCGACAGTGACGGCAGCTACATTGGAGACGATGGTGATGGAGAAGATGATATGGATGAGGAGGAGGGTGAAGAAGTCAATAACGGTGAACCTATTGTGCAGCATCGGACCATTTCCCACTACGGCACAGCAAACCGCCTCCGTTGTGCCCATCACAATACAAACTTAGTGGCTGTGTGGTCAGACGCCGGACACGTTCAGGTCTTCGATCTTGAAAATGAAGTTTCAATGTTGTGCGATTACACGAACTGGGCAAAGAGGCAGGGGAAACCTGCGACGCAGAAAAAGCGCTCCGCATTGCTTTTTTGTACTTCATCCACAGCACACAGGACAGAAGGGTATGGATTGGACTGGAGTCCTACCGTTCAGGGTGTCTTTGCTTCCGGAGACTGTGACGGGAACTTATTTGTATGGCAGCCCTCTGATGATGGTCGTTGGCAGGCAATTGCTAGCAGCACAAGTGACACACAATCGCCTTCCATTGAGGAGATTCAGTGGAGCCCCACGCAAACTGATGTGCTTATCGCCACTCGTGTTGGTGGCGCAGTGGAGGTGTGGGACACCCGCGACATGCGGAACAGTAAGATTCACTGGCAAGCAGACCCCACAGACATCAATGTTGCCGACTGGAACAAGGCAAGACAAGCTTCGCACCTGCTTGTGACCGGTGCTGACAGTGGTGCGGTGGCGGTGTGGGATCTCCGCAAGCTGTCTGAAGCTACTCCAATTCAGCGGTTGCCATGGCACAGGGGAAGCATCACATCGGTAGAATTTTCCCTGCACAATGAGAGCGTGCTGGCCGTGACGGGAAACGATGGTCAGTGCACACTGTGGGATCTTAGCCTTGAGCGCGATCCCAGCGAGGAGAAGGAGGTGATTGGCGAACTGTTCGGGCGACAGGACCTGACAGGCATCCCCGACCAGCTGATGTTTCAGCACCAGGGGCTTGAACACCCGAAGGAGGTGCACTGGCATGCGCAGATCCCTGGGATGGTGATTACTACCGACTACTCCGGACTGCATCTATTCCGGCCGATGAACTGGCGCTCGCTTATGAAGTAAGAAGAAGGGAAGAGCGAAGGCAGGGCATGCACAAAAAGCAAACAAAAAAAACAAAATGAAGAAAAAAACATTGTGGAGAAGGAAAACAACATCAACAACTGAAAAGGAAGAGTATGACAAAAAAAAAAAAATGGCAAAAAAGGAACTGAGGGAGAAAGAAACATGAAAAGGAGGCCCGTGGGGGTTGGAGGAAAGGGGACTGTGCCTCAGCTTTCATCGAATAATGGCGTCTAATACTGCGCCTGTTACACTAAATTCATGTTTCTAGGTTTCTACTTTTGTATTGCATCATTTGTCCAAAAATGTTTTTACGATATTTTTCTCGATGCTCAGTCTTTTTTTCTTTTTTCTTTTTCTTTTGGGTTTCTTTTGACGGTTCCAACCTTAGTCTGGAAGCCTACTACCGGCTTTTCTTCTGCTGTCAATCCAACCGCAATTATCTTAGGAGGGGGAAGGGTGGGGTCGTCCACATTGTGATTTATGAATCTACTCGTCCCAGTCGCCCTGTTGCTTGTTAATTGGAGCATTGACACCACTGACCCAGAGGTGCGACAATTTGTCAGCTACCTCTTTGTTCTGGTGCATGCGATCCTTTTCGCTGTGGCGATTTATCTGTTTGTCTGCATTTGGGTGCGCAATGACACCCGTATGTTGCAGTTGCGGGACACCCCCTTGAACGAGGTCCAGCAGATGACGGTAGCAGACTACGACTTTTCCAAGTGGCGCGTTTTGTTTTTTACGAAGTTGTTGTTACCTGTCGCGGTGGGTTACTTCGTGGCGTCACGGTGGGGGACAACCTTCCCACTGCTGCTCCAGTGCGCCGTAAACCCCAGCATGTTGTGTCGCTTCCCTCTTTTCAAGATTCACGTGCTGGGCAGACGGGAGGAAGGGGACCTTGTGCGCCCCTGGAAGGATGAATCCGTTGTGCCGGAGTGGCTGCAGCAGATGTGGGATACGTACCAGACAAACGAGGCGGCCACGGCCTCGACCTCGGGTTCAGCATCATCAAGGAACAAGAGACGGATTTCCTAAGGAGGAGGAATACACATTACCATAAAAAGAAGAACGAACAAAAAGGAATGCATTGAGGTACCAGCAACAACTCCAGCGGGAGGCAAAGCGGGATAATGAGGCGAGATGAAACACCTTGAGCGTCTCGACCATGCAGGCAATCATAAGATGGCTAAACGCGTACTTCTTTACGTCTCCACCCAGGAGTGGGCCATGTGGCACCCAGACATTTCTCTTATTGCTTGGATGCGCGCGGAAACATGCACGGCGTTTTATCATGCCTTTTTTTACTTTCTAGGTGTATATATCTTTTTTTGTTGTTGCACTGGGCGCTTGTCACTGCGTCGTCCGTTTCCCTCACCTCTCCCTCCCCCTTTTTTTTTTTGGTTGGGTCCTGCGGTATTAGTGCTAAGTCACAGACACCGTGACACTTAAGCAAGCGAGACAGAAGGTCAAATCGCAGAATAGGCGAGGCGGAAGAAGGAAGGAAAGTTTTCAAAAGAATAAAAAAAAACAAGGCAGGAAAAGGACGATCTGTAGATTTGCCTTGTCATGCGTGGGCTCCTGGAGGATGCGCTGGACTCCGGAGACGTACTGGAGCTTGAGAGGGCTATCATCAGTGTGCAAAACCCCGTCTTCGCCTCGCCGCACCGACGGCGTGAAAACAACTATCTCAATGATATTCTGCTGAAGTGCAGGAAGGCGCTTGTTCAGCATCTTGAGGAGTGTGGATCGCTGTTAAAACCACTTCGACGAGCCTGCCGCAACCTCGACGAGGAGGCACTTAGAGAGGCGCTCCGGAAAGTTCATCTTGCACCATCTGAGCTGCGTCGCTACATGCATACAGACATTCAGCAAGCTGAGGCACTGCACAGCCGCATGCTCCATGCCGCGGATCAAGCACACATGCTTTTAAACTGTAGTGATTGGCGAGAGATAGAGCACTTTCTTGACGCGAACACTGCTATACTTCCTGATAGAACAGTAGTGGCACTTATGCGGCGAAGGGAGGCACTCTTCGCACAACGCCGCATGATGCCCGTGGATCCTATAGTGCATGTACCAGTGTTATCGTCAACACCTTTTTTTACTGGTTCCTGGCGAAAAGACGAGAGTGGAGAGGCCACTGCGACCATGACTCCGGGAACGCTAGAACAGGAAGAAAAAGACCATCGCTGCGTCTTAGTTAGGGAGGAACACGCACAACGCGTGCTGTATCTGAAGTTGGTGATGGAGTCACAGGCATTGTTGCTGTCACCCACCGACGGTGATGGGGCCACATCAACGCAGTGCCGTGTAGCCCAGGCGGAGAAGCCAATAACGCATCAGGGAACCCCAGGCGCATCACCGTCGAACGGGTTGCAGAAGAGCAACAGCCGAAGGTTTTCTACGAGTACTGCGGCATCGCCAAATGTTTCACCCATAAAACTGAGTTCACTGATGGATTCTGCCCTTCGGCCGGAACAACGGCCGCCTGCACTCAACACTTCTGCTGCGGTAGAAGTTCCCAACGACAGTTTAGATTTTGCCGTTGTGTGTAAATCTACCTCTTCCATGTCACGAGAGCCTCAGTTAGTTACGTTGCCGAGGGTGTGGGCACAACTTCGTGCCCTGATGCAAGAGGAGGACATTCATCGTCGTGACTTGGAGGGGAACGAAAGCTTTGAGCGCAGCGTGTTCCTGCTTCCAATGGCTGCACGGAGTGTCCTTCTCACACGCGTCTTTCCGCGACGGCAGCTGTAAAACTAAAACAGATATCCGTAACTGGTATTCTTTCTCTTCCTCTTTTCGATTCCTCCTTTTTTCTTTCTGTGGCCTTTTTTTTTTGCAGTATGAAGAGACATTTCAAAAGGGGCCTACGCAGAGGTGTTGTGTGCCGTTCTGTGTTTTTTTTTTGGTAATAAAAACTTTTCACTTTGTGGATCTTTTTTTCTTTGTTCCACGATTTTTTTCTGTTTTGTTTTCTCTGCTTTTTCGAGTGCCTGAAGTGTTTGGCAATGCCAGGGGGAACTCCGCCCCGGCAGTGCTGTGGTCGTTGTGCTTGCGGCTGCGGCTGCTGCAGGCTACTTCATGAGGCCCATGCGGCTCGTGAGGAAGAAAATAGAAAACGGATTGCGCAGCGTGCACCGAACAAATGGAGCCCTTTGGACGTGCCGAAGATGGGACAGGCGGCCCGGCGTTTTATGAATGAACAGCAGCATCACAGTTGGGATGCGGCTGTCACGCTACGAATGCGCTTTCTGTACTAGTTGTTGAAGGCATGTGTGGGGGTTCACGTTCTTTTTTATGTTGGCGTGTTTTTACTCCCGCTCTCTTCTTTTTACCCTGTACGCATGTCTGCATGCACATGTAATCTCCTTGCGTACTCACAGACGCGCAGTTTTTCCCACGTCATTCCTGACGCCTTTTGTTTGTTTATTTTTTTTTCATTAGAGGAACTGGGACAGTTGTACATCAAAAGGGAAAACAGCTAGGGGGAGCACCTGCATGGCGGCGGGACGCGTCAGCGAGGGTGAATGCAACAAGAACGACTGATCACCCCCACATATTTACTCAAATGCCGCCATACACTGAGCACGGCCTGTTTTGTGCGGACAGTTGTTACGGCTACACTTTTACTGCTATTCGTCAGTAACCTTTCCCCGGAGGCCGCGCTTTTTTAAAGTTTACATGACTCCTGTTTTTGTCTTATTGGACAACTGGATCTCTTCTGCCGCTATGCTTCTCTTTCGTTGCGTCTGTGGTTGGTGTATGGGTGCGCTGACCCCAGCTGCTTCTGATGGAGTCATTTGGTGCTACACTTCTGCTGCTAGGACTGGTGCTGACCATCATGTGGGTGGTGGAACTGTGTGACGGCGCATGGAGTGCCGAGTTCATCGCGCACTGCGAGGCAAACGCGGATGTCGTTTGTCCTGGCATCTCTGGTGACGATTGCTTCGGGTGGGATGACGGTCCCTACCTGGAATGTGAATTGGCATCCCGTCCTATGCGCCATAACAGTGCCGCATTGAGTTCAACGCCTCGTTGTGAAAGTGATCTCGCAGTTTTCGCTGACGCCCGCACAGGGGGTGATCCAGGCAGTATTGGGGTTTTGCCATGCTCAGCAGACCCTGTGTGGGCGACCTGCTCCTGCGTAAACGTTCACGTGGACAAAAAAGAAAAAAAAAACAAGAACAACACGTGCGCACAATTTCTGTAGTGACCGTGTATGTTTTTTTTTTTTGTACTTTGCTGTTTTAATCTTTCTTTCATTTCACGTCAGGCACGCAGTTCCGGGCTGTTTGAAATCAGTGGGTTGTGTGCCTCACGCTTCACGCAGGGATGCCTCTGTGGTTGGTGGCACAAGCTCGTTTGCGTTCGTTGTACGTATGGTGAGTACCGGGGCTACACGTGTGTGTGTGTTTTCCCTCGTTTCCAACAACAAAAATGTGGGAAGAAGGACCTAATCGAGTCTCCGATCCACTTTTTATTATTCCCTTCTCACCTTGAGCGATTTGCTATCGTTTCTTTTTTTTTTTATTAAAAATATTATTATTATTATTATTATTTCTTATTCCCGGTCCATTCCAACTTTTTTTTTTTTGCATAGATGCATGACCTACATGTACATTGAATTGCTAACGCCGCTGGTACTTGTAATGTTATCTTCTGTTTCTTTTTTCCCTCTCCCGTCGGTTCCCGCGTTTACATCCATCCCTCCTTTTTATTTCCAGAGGAGGCAGGATTGCTCTTTCTTCTATTCTCACGCGCAAGGTGAATAATGCAACTGAGACCCGACAGTTGTACCCTGCCCCAAGGGCAGAGCGTGGCGGCAGGAGAGACATTTTTTTACTGCGAGCACGATAAGCCGAAAGTAGAGACGTCTTATCGCATACGCCTTATTTCTGGCACATCAAACCCTGCCCTATCGGAAAGTGTGGCAAAGTTTCTGAATATTCCTCTCTGCAGCACGGACATCAGCTGTTTTGCGAATGGCGAACTAAACATCAAGGTTATAGATGACGTGCGCGGCGATGACTGTTTTGTCATTCAACCCACGGCTGGAAATGAACACACTGAACTCAACACAGCCATGATGGAGCTCTTGTTGCTGGTGCACACACTGAAGCTTTCTTCTGCTAAACGTATCACTGCGATTGTGCCGTATTTTGCATACAGCCGTCAAGACAGAAAGTCAGAGCCTCGCGTGCCTATTTCAGCATCAGCAGTGGCACAGCTAATACAATGCATGGGCGTGGATCGTGTGGTGACGTTGGACTTGCACTGTGGCCAGATTCAAGGTTTTTTCCGGAATATGCCCGTGGATAATCTTCTTATGTTTCCTGAATTTGCAACATATATAATGAGACAACCGTGGTTTGTAAAGGAGAAGACGGTGGTGGTGTCACCTGATGCGGGCGGTGTGGAACGCGCCAACGTTTTGGCTGATCGCATCGGTGCTAGCCACATCGTAACAATCCTTAAACGACGCGTGGAGGCTGGCAAGGTCGACTCCATGCAGACCGTCGGCAACGTTGACGGCTACACTTGCATCATCGTAGACGACATGGTGGACACGGCAGGTACTCTCTGCAAGGCATGTAACCTGCTGAAAGAGATGGGGGCGGTACACCTGGTGGCCTGCGCCAGCCACGGCATTCTGACGGATCCAGCGTGCGAGCGCATCAACAACTGCAGCGCATTGAGCGAAGTCGTTGTGTCAGACTCCATTGCGCAGGGCGTCAACTCCCGAAAATGCAGCAAACTGACGGTGCTCACCATAGCGCCACTACTCGGAAGGTCCATCGACAACCTTCACCGTGAGGCATCGCTGTCCTCTCTTTTTTCAAAGGTGGGAACCCCCCAATAAAAGCGGTGCTCTCCAAAGCAACAACAACAACAACAACAAAGTAAGGGGTGTGGTTTGAAGGAGCGTGTGAAAAACAAACAAACGAGGGGGAAGGCAGCGCAGGAGCGAGGATACACTCAGCTTTGCTTGTGCATACATACAGAAATATCGATGCATTACTTGCACGGACAGGGATGAAGGAAAAAGAGGATTTTAACTGGGGAAGGCGCCTTTTGTTTTGCTGACAAGTAGGAAACAATGAAAGGAGGAAAAAAGGAATCAGTTATCTACCCTGCGGTTAAAGCGAGTGTAAGAAAAAGACGGATAAAAAAAAGGTCCTGTCGCAGAAAATGAACTCAACTGAGCTAATCAAGGAAAACATATGAACGCGATACAAAGTAAGCAAGGCGCCACTGAAAAAAAAAAAAATACAAATTTTAAAAAAAAAAGATGTTGACTAAGTCTGAGAGGATAGCTCTACCTTTAGTTTGTGTAGGGTCTGTGAATGCCTTACCCATGCCTTTCACCCCATCATTTACCACCTCCAACTACACTACAACAGCTGGTTCTGTACATCGTTTTTTCTTTTTCAGAAGGTGGTCGCCGGTTTTATATCATGATCGCCTGCTTTTCGTGAGATGTCTTCTTGGAACAGTCTGTTGTTACGAGACAACCCGTAACGTACGGCGTCGATAGTCATCTGGAGGCGCGTAACGGGTAACTAAAGCGCAGCTGAAGGGAAGTAAAGATGTGGGGATTTGTGTAGTTATTAGTTATATGAGGGCATATGAGCGGAGTCATCGAGACTTACGGGGTGGTTACTGCGAACAACCCCAATGAACTGCATGTTTTCTCTTTCAATTTGCTTTTGCGGCGGCTACGCAAAGGGTGAGTTTTGAAGTGGGGTGTGGCGAGCATTTAGTTAGTTATTTTTCAGGGATGACCTCCACCACGCGCCCCTCATAGTCGGATGTGGGGTGGACGACCGGTGTGACGGCCTGGCGGTGTTTTTTGTTTGGGCTTATCCCAGTACAGTTGCCCCTTCTTGAACTGCCGGGTGGATGGCAGCGTAGCCGCGGTAGGCGGGGGAGCCTGCCACGCCTGAGGGCCTCTGTGGAGACCATGGCGACTCTGCGTGCGGGGTGGGCGTCCTTGGAAGGGCGTGAGCTGGCGCCGTTTTTGGCACTATTATCTTTGCCTCGAATTGGCCTGCCGACGGCTCTCGCGGCTGGGGCGGGCCTGCGACGCTGGCGGGTTGGGGTGGCTTTGCCGTTTGGCGCCGGTAAATTGGAGCGGGGGTGTCCACATAAAATGCTGGAGAATGAGTCGGTCTACCCGCCGAGATGTCCATCAGCTTCCGCGGTGTTGGTG